CTTCCACCAAAGTGAAATCCCAGGGTGTCTTAGGGACCCAAAATTTGCCAGACCTTGCTTTTTCCTCTCAGGATCACTAGGAAACACAAGGCCTCTCCAATTTCAGAAAGCAGGTTTCTTTTGCTTTCTCTTGCCCAGAGCTGGGATGGGGACACTGTCCCATACCCCACTGAAGGGGATGGAGGGCCAGACAATAACCATCATTCTTTTTCTTTACTGCCCTGACTGGCTTCAGTGAAGCTCCTCCTGATTTACACCCCTGACCACCACAGCAGACACCAGCCCACCGTCCCCTACGACCACTGTCACCTGGAGCACCTATATAAGAGCTCATCTTGGCCAGACACTGCAGCTGGGCTACTGGCATCTCAAGAGGGGTTCTTTCTAGAACATCACTTAAACTGATTTTATTTATTTCTAACGTTGTGCTTCACTCTGCCACCGACACCCTTTACTCCTCTGTCGAAAGCTAAATGTCAGGCCTAACACTAGCTGAATGACCCTTTAAAAAGCTGGATTTCAATCTAGAGACATATTAGTAGTGAGAAAGCTTCTTGGTGTTAATTTTAAAGCATTGGTATTTCATGCTGACTTGGGAAATCATCCTTAGTTTTTGGCATCAGGCAGAGGATTTGGAAAATGACATTAATGGATCTACTTTCTTTGAAGGACTTGGGAGTAATTTCTTGACTTCTGCCTAATGAATAAGTGCTGCCTTCGTTAAATTTATATTTATGGCCATATAGTAGGTCATTGGCTTGTTTTATGTCTCCAGGTTTATGGAAGGTTATCTGCCATGGTCACCTTGTGGCATCTTGGCTAGGATCATCTTGCAAAGAGACAATTGTACCTGAGCAGGATTTTTCCCGTGGAGATATGGAAATGATCAGATTAATATAGAGACAATGTCTGGGGATAAGGCTCTTGCCCTGAGCTGCCAAATGAAGTTACTATTAGCATCTGTTTTCACAGTACACCTTTAGTTTGCCCTGGCAAGGCCAGATCCTTAGCTTCTGCAAAGCAGCAAGGCTACATGGACTTCAGCAAGGCTGACATGATTGACAGTTGTCCTTTGGTCTCTCAAGATCCTCTCTGCTTCTTTCACTTCACCAGCTAATCCTCAGTGTATACATTATATCACATTTAATCTCTTCAGTGTCTGTATGTTGGACGTAAGATCTCCGTGAGTCTGACCACAAGGAAAACTATTCCAAACGTTATCTATGGGCACACTTGCAGAGACAGTCACCAGCACGTCCAAGGTCTTTTGATAGTGTTACAACTTAGACACATGTTAGTTCTGGTCCAAAAGCCCCTTTAAGGTGTTTTATGATACCCATGTTCCTCATCTAGTGTCTCTTACATCCTTACAGCTCTTACCAGCCATTACTCAGCTATTTGCCTTCTGGGCCACGGTGAGCTTGCATCCTGGCACAGACAGCTTGCAGGGGACCTGATGTCTGTTCCCAGCACTGCGTGTCCGTGTTCAGCTAATATTTGCAGTAAGAGAGATGACTGGCCAGCTGGATGGGGAGAAACCATGGCTGAGACAGGGTAACTTTCCTACCTTAGCAGGGCATGATCTGTGTGAAGGCCACAGGGGCGCACACCTTATTAAGTTATGTGTACCTTGTGGAGGAATAAAGCAAACTTTTATCACAGTCTTCTTTTGCTACGACACAGAAATAATTCCCCACATCACTTTGTCTCCACATCACTTTGAGTTTTAGTACATGGTGTACTCCAGCCTACAGTCACATATAGCCCCTGGGACAGATTGGCTCTAGATCACAAGCCCCTCATACCTATCTGCCCCTGTAGAACTTCTCATGGGTCATTGGTACATAGCAGGGCTGCCACTTTACTGAACACAGCTCGGCCACAACTTCCTCAAATGTCTAAGTCATGTCTTGAGATTTCTGGATCAACAGCAACTGTTGGCTTCACCACGCTGCAGCTTGGAGCACAGGCAGTTATGCTCTTGGCTAGGTTTAATTCATCTGGCAGAGAAGCAACATGAAGATATGCTCATGGCTGCCCAAGCTACCCTGGCTTTGTGTCAGCGTACCCAGATGGCTCTGGAGTCTGTGTCCCTGTATCTTCACAGGCCATGTTGGCCAGCATGGACACATCCACTACACTGAAGCCACATCTTCATTTGCTGAATACATACACTCTCTGACCTAAGTAAGATGAGTTCTTCAGTGAGAAAAGGTCATCACTGTTGTTCTTAAGAGGTGCCAAGTTAAATTCCTGCAGGTGACTCACCGCAACTGCTTTTCCCTAACATCTGGGAAAAGGTATGAGCCTACAAGTAACACAGAGAGCACCAAGACAGGAGCTGATGCCTCCTCACACTACCCAGTCATACGGTCCAGGGATGCTTTCAGCTCACTCCTTTCCAAGAACATCCAGGAATGGCTGGCTCAGTATTAGGGTCCCGTCTGTTAGACCAGCCACTTTGCACCTTCCTTACCTATGAGTAATGGATTCCCAGTTTGGAGCAAAGCTGACTGGAACTAGGAAAGAGTCTTCTCAATGGCTTTGTGTGCTGCAAGCCAGGAGGAAATTCTTTTGCAGGATCTGGGGCACAAGGCAATACCCTGAGAAAGAAATAGCCAGTTAGATCTCGCCCTTGCTAACAGGTCATTAAGAATCGGGAAAATAATGAACTATAAAATCTCTGTGTGGGAGAGAAAAAGGCTGTATTTAAAGACCTGTTGTCCCAAACCTTTTAAATAGAGCATTTGTCCAGTTTTCATCTTTAATCTTAAAGGTGAACCATAAGTTTCAGTGTATATTTCCTAAGCAGGATGGCTTAGTTACAATGGACAGGGTGTGACTCCAAAGGCAGGCAAGGTATCTGCAGAAGGAGTAAGGAAAGGAGATCTGCAGTGCACCAGGTGGTCACATTCAGGACATAGATTCAGCTATAGCTGGGAGAGTGGGCAGTTCCCACGTGAGTCCAGTCAAAGCAAGGAATGAAGAAAAAGAGCACAGTCAGATAGGTGCTGCTCAGTGACTTAACCCATATCAACAACGAGGCAGTCATTGCTTCTTGTCAGCATGTCAGAGAGAGAATGAGTATGCCCGAGTCCAACCTCATCTGGAGAGGAAGGAAATGCCTTGAGTGTAGCTCCTGAATAGTGGAGACAATTTCTTATTCTTGCTCTATAAACAGACGTGTGCAAGCAAGGAAGGGCTGTTGTCTTTGGGGCAGAACAGGTAGATCATCTCCTTTACTGCAGAACTGCAAGACCAGAGTTGTCTTACTAAGATTTGCTCTTTACTGCATGTCCCCCCACCTTCCTCAGCAGATATCTTCTGCCTTACAGGACTTGGTCAAGTTTTTATGATCCATTCTCCAAAAGGGGTGCAAGTTCTGATGCATCAGCCTTTAATTCAGTTTTCTTCAGGAGTAGTATGTTCAACATTCTGCTTTCAGGGGAAAACAGTTTTGAGCAGAGGTTAAAAAGACTAGACTTTAGTTGGTTCTTTCATCAAGAAGGCCAGGAATAATTGGAAACCATTTTTATATTTTCCAAGCATCCCTCCAGTTTCCTGGGGCATCTACTCTTTAAACATAGACCTTTACATCTCCCACAGGTTTTAATGTATTCTCCTCATGTCCCTTTTTGAGGGGTGAAGATCCTTACCGTAAGGCATTGCTTTCCCTTTACACATGCACAGATATTTGAGGGACTTGCCAAAGGTGAGTTGGAAATCAAATAAACAAATTCCAACCTAATTCTGCAATCCCACTTATTTCTTCCTGTAACTACCCCATCCTCAAAATTCTTGTGATCAGGTAATACCCACAAAGAAAAAGAACCTCAAAGCCTTAGCGAGTTAGTTGAGTTTGACCCTTCAAAGTTTGATCTCCTCACCATTCCTCCTTGTATTTTGGGGCAAAAAGATTTGCAAGCTTCCATCCATCTTTGCAGTTAAGGTTCAAGCTGGTATTTGCATCTTTGAGAAAACACTGTCCATATTCCCTGGGTCCCTAACACTCATGTTCTCCAACCTCCCCCACATTTTGGCATGCTGTGTCTTTCCTTGGATAGGTCAAAGACACCAGATTTCCTTCCAAGAGATCCATGCCTTTGCATCCTCCAAGCCCTTGTCTTTAGCCACATCTCTGTGCTTGTAGGAAAGAAGGTGGGATTGAAGGGGGAAAGTGGCAGCTCACCAAGGGATCATCCTGCAAGTAAGAAGCCAGAGGGAATGTGTAAATGTAGAACTGTGCAGCACCAATAAATACAAATTAAACTCATAACAAGAAGTGAAATATTAGGGCCAAGGTGACATTTGGACTGGAGGTTCAGCCAAGCTTTGCTTTAAATATTTTATTGCTGCAGATAAAGAAAGAGCTTATCCAACACGTTTCTCTCTCTGTCTCTTTTTCTGTCCCTATCAACCAAAGGGAAGGGAAAAAAAAAAAAAAAGTCTTAACTAGCTTTGGTTGTATTTGAGCTAGACTTCAAAGTTTCACAAAAATAAACAGTTTTAGGAGGGAGGAAAGCACACTTGTAAAGAGAGAAAATGTGCTTTGAAGCCAGCAAGGGACTGCACGCCTTACACAGAGATACACAGCATCATCCCTGGAGCAGACAAGTGGTGTCCCTCTCCCCTCCAAGCAGCATGTCCTCTCTCACAGGGGGCTGCCTGGCAGCAACACAGTCCTTCCAGGGATGTCGGGATGGCAAGAGACACTGCTTTGTTCTCTTCTCCTTCCTCCTGCCATGCCCCTGTTGTTTTCTGCTCTGATTGAAAGTTTCATACGACTGTAGCTGCCACTGAGATCTGAGTTTGCACAGCACCTAGCACAGTGTCAGTCCTGGCTTAAGATGAGGGCTTTTTGGGGTTATTACTGCGATGCCAAAAATTTGCATGATCAGAGGTGCGCTCCATAATTTAAGCTTGGGAAAGGAGGGGAGAGGTTTGTTTGCCTTCTGCTCCAAAGTCTCACTTAATTCCTTCTCTTTTTTGTGTCTCCACAGCACAAAGCCCCACTGCAGCAGACCCCTTGCAGCAAGCCTACGCTGGAGTGCAGCAGTACGCAGGTCGTTAGTATTAACACTTTCTCCCAATAAACCTTTCCTTTCTGTAGAGCCTTTAGTCTCTGAACACACCCAAGGTGTTTCGGGGAAGGGAGGCGTTTGCTGATTACACAGGCAACCTGCAGGTCACAGACTCTCAGATAAAACCTGCATGTTTTGTGAGAACAAAAATAAAGCCCAGGGTCTTCTCTCATTGAGGAGGCAACCTCCTCCCTTTCCTGAGGAAAAGGCTCCCACCGGCCTGTCACTTGGTGCAGCTTGGCAGGATCAGGTCCAGTTTGCTTAGCATAGTGCAAAAGTGAAAAAAAGAGGTTACTGATTTGGAGGCCACTTCCTACAGCCGGTCTCCTGGGTGCTGCAGGGAGGTGAGAGGATAACCAGACCCTGCAGAGCCACTGCTGCTGTGCCTGGCCGGGTATGGTATGTCTGCATACACCCATATTTTAGGGTACGTTTACACTGGTCATACCCCAGCATGTTAGTCAGAGGCTTGCTTAGGAGTTATACAGACTTACTCCGGGCTTTCCAGCAGCCTCTTCCGCAGCTCCCAATGGGTCACATCACCCTGTACACTGAGCAGCTCCTTTGCAGTTGATGGACTGACACCAACCAAAGTGACCTGGTGCAGACCATGACCTCACCGTGTTCAGCCTCCCCTCACGAGGTGTCCATGGCCAACATTGCGAGGAAGCTGCCACCCCAAAGTCATTATTTCCTGTGGTAACTGGAGCAATCATGGGCTCCCGCTGAGGGATGGCTATTACCTCATGTCAGCACTGTATCTGGAAACTTAATTTAATTCTCCATGTAGGGCTTCATTTGCCGGTGTTTTAGTTATTGTCATTTATTGCTTGTGAGGCTTGATAGATGGGAAGCAGCTCAACCCTTTGAGCTGTTAATTAACCCCTCTGCACACACATGGCCCCTATCCCCCTCTCTCTGGGCTCACAGGCGACCCGTACTCTGTATTTTTAGCAGCAAGGCACATCATCTACCATCTGTGGTACTGAATGTCTCCCCTTGTCTGCTTGGTGGGGGAGTTGAGGTGGGGAAAATTGTTTAATTGCTGCACACTGTTTCCACTGTGTTTGTGTGAGAGAAAGGAATTCTCTATGGACATGAAAGAAAATGTATATCTGAGAGGGTATGTGCAAACGTGCCTATATAGTTTGTGAACACATGAAGGTTAGAGTAAGGGAGGAAATGCACGTGTGAGCCTGTGGATTAATCAGACACAGGGAAACTTGTGCACGTGGTCTGTATGGGACGGTTACGCACCTCTGCTGGGAGGGATCTCAGCAAAGTCCCCTGTTTACACTGTGTGGCTGTCCCTAGTGTTACTGCTGATGAAGCTGAAGGGAGGGTGGGTGATCAGGACCAAGTGGCATCTTCTGAAGCATGACTTTTGTGCTGCTGCCACATCTCAGGTTGCACAAGATGGCCCTCCATAGAGCCAAAATGCAGAGGGAAGGGTTGGCTCGAGCTTGGTGGTTTGGAGTGAAAGCCCCTTGTTACCCAGCACTGAAAACTGTCCCCCTTTCTTCTCTCCCTTTCTCTCCCCTATAGCTGCTTATCCTGCTGCTTATGGCCAGATTAGCCAAGCGTTCCCACAGCCACCTCCCATGATTCCACAGCAACAGAGAGAAGGTGAGTAAATGAACTATCCCTCTTTCTGGCCCCTGCAGGCCATCCACACCACATTGATTCCCCTCCTCATAGGTCTGAAGAGTATCCATTAAATGCTCAAATGCTTTGTATCCCTGGTCCACTGAGTCTTTCTGCCATTTCCATATGTAGCATAACATCACTGGCACTAACAGAAGTTTGCAGGACATCTTCATGGGGGATTGCTGCTGAGATTTGCTCAGTCCACAGGGAGGGGAGCATGCTGGGGTGCATGGACCATGGAAAGACCTGCTAGTAATATAGGGTGTAACATCCAGTGGTGTCTGCGTTCAAGACAAGCCACAAGAATGTGGACAAAAAAGGAATTAAATTGGAAGACCGAATTTAATAGGAAACAGAGCACTGGTGGCCCCTCATTAGAAGCCGGTAACTTCATTTCAGACACCTACTATTTACCAAGTGAGAACCTGCTATTTAGAGGAGATGATCTAGTTCTTTCAGCCTCCTTTGATAATCTGGAAGCAGAAATCAACCTTTTCAGAGCACAATCTGTGTATCAGGATGAGATGAATTATGTAGTAAAAGTACTTATTTCTTTTATGAAAATGATTGGCTGTGAGAGGAGCCTGCGTTATCTGTTTTACAGGTCTGAACAGCTTTGCTTGAGGCATGAAAACTAAGGAGAGGTGAATCTCCCACTATGGCATGTAAATGCTTTTGGAAACAACCCTGCCATGTAGTGTTCCCTTTATGGATAGTGGTGAGCAATGGGATCCTCAGAGGCAATCCACTCAGGTAGTCCCAGTTGTCTTCCAGGGAGTTAGTCCACTGCTCCCTTCTGACAAGACGCAGGCACTGCTTGCCTAAGTGAGGCATTTAAATCAGGTGCTTCAGCTTAATGTAGAGACCCTCATTTTAAATAATTACATTTCAACTTTTATCCCCTATTAGATCACTAATTCAGATATATTCTATATTATATGTGTTATTATATATATATAATGACATTTAATATTTTAATATGGTGTAACAGTCAGAATGAAATGAATCAAGATTACACTATCAAACTAAAACATTCTGATAGCCTAGAACTACTTTGGGGGAGAAATCTCATTTTGTAAGAAAATTAGAAATGTCGGCATTTCAATCTAATTTGGAATTAATTTTTTTCTGATGTCAGAATTTCCTGGGGAACACAACTTCCAGCTCCTGATTAGCTCTAGTACATGTCCCTGCTGTGAGAACAGATGCACAGACCTAACGTATCATTACAGAGATGTTTCCCCCATGCTGAAGGACTTTGCTTTTTATTACTTACTGGGGCTAGATTAAGCACAGGACAAAATGGCGAGCAGATCATTGCTTAGCAAAGCATTCTGCCAGGAACCATCAGAAGCAAAGGGTAGCTGTTGTGCACACTTTGCAGACCCACTGCCCAGTGACTCCTTTGTTTTCAAGGCTTGGTGGGTCTCTATGGGTTGAGGATGAGTGTCACCCAGTGAACAAGTTATCTCATAACTCCTTGTTCCTTCCTGTAAGCATCTGGTATTGAGGATGTTCTGGGAGCCGCATACATGAGATGCACGACCAGTTCAACTCAGGTTGCCACTCCCAGTGTCCTCTACTTTACTGCTGTGTTTGGATGCTGTGGCTTTCTCTGCTGCTGGCTAGAGGGAGGGTCTTTAAGGCACACCACTCCCTTTTAGCAGAGGGTCAAGACCTTTAAGCATCCCTAACCTCTAACAGGAAAACACAGCAAGAGGGAACTCTAATAATAATGATAATGTTCAGTGCTGAGAAGAGTACTTTATGTTTGCAAGGATGTGCACAAACATTGATTCGTTAATGAACCAGCCCTACCACAACAATAACATTGATGATCACATTGTTAATAACAATGCTAACTCTCTGCTCCTGAATCCCTGTTGGATAACAAGCCGCTTGGCTGCTGCAACGTTCCTGTAGAGATTAGTCATTACTTCCACACGAGTGCTCAGGCTGCCGGCAGCTGACGGGGTGCATAGGGTGGAACAGATCCAAAACAATCAAAGCTACAGATGAAGTCTTGATTCAGGCCATGTCAACCAGGCAAAATTTTAAAATTTTAGGGAAAATTTTAAATGTGTATAGTATTACTCATCTTGATGCAGCTTCTGACACTCAGAAGTACACTTAGGTATTAAAATAAAGTGGTGCAGGCTTGTGACTCTCATTGGTGTTGTGCTCAGACATACTGGACACCAAATAGCAAGCAGAAGAGGGAATGGAATTCCAGGCTCTGAGTATCTGCTGCAGAGATGAGGTGTGCAGCTGACCAAAGGGCTTCGGGCTAACTTCATGCAACCTTATGGGGCAGCTCATTCTTAGTTACTGTTGGGAGAAGAGTCTAGTCGTAGCCTTTCCTTATGACAGTGATTCGCAGTGTTGGGGATGCAGTGATGGGTGATGTCAGCACAGGTGTATGGAGTTTACTCATGCTGACAGTGGACATCCAGGGATAGATTGGGACAGTCCTATGGCTGTTCCCATGCTAAAGAAACAACAATGAGCTAGAGGGTGAAAAACAAGGGCAGAGCAACGGCTTAGCAGCTCAGGTCCAATCAAGCCAAATCAGCATGAACCCACCACAGAGTTCTCTATCATGTGCTTCTGCACTCTCAGTCATGGGTTTTTTCTCATTATCCATTATGGTTTGCCTGTAATCCACAGATCATTCATAAACTGTGCATTCCTTAAAACTTTTCTTTCCATTTTGTCCGAATCAAGGTTATCTGTGCTTCTTTTGTGTTAATGAACAGAAATATCTGTAACATAAAGTCGTAAAACCAAGAGCCATGGTAGATGTCAGAGTAGAAAGGAACCTTGATTCTCTTCTCATAATGTGTCATGGGGGCTATATTTTGAGCTGATTTACAGCCCTTTTGAAAACTGAAGTAAAGTGTGTGGAAAATAATTTGAGTACTGTCTTCAGCACTGAGCAATCAGGTACACTGATCTCCGACAATCTGCTAACTCAGTCCAAAACAAGAGCTTTCTCTTCAGCAAGGTAGTTGGAGTCTTCACTGAGGTTTTGCCATGCCAGCTGTGATCTTCCTCTCACTCCAGTAATCCCGACCAAATCCTTTACTTCACGGCTTTCTGAGCTGAACAACTCATGCTATTGATTTCTTAAAAATATATGTGAATCTACAAAGAATTGGCCATACACATGAATATATAGACTTCCATGGAGTGCCAAGATTAACTTTACCCAGGAAAAAAAAATAAAAATATGGTGGAAGGGCTGAGGAAGATAGATTGAATTCATTACCAGGAGCCTAACTGTGATAGGTAACTTATGGATGGATGGATTTAACAAGAAATTGCTTAAATTCTAGTAGCAGAACTTTCATATGTGAAGAAGTAAAACAAATGAAACAACCCAAGGTTGTTTTTTAATAGCAGGTAGAGTTTTCAGGACTGGAAATTAGCAAAAACCCTCTGTAGTTTGTAACAGAGTGAGTTTGGCCTTGAATGTCTGAATTGGTATGGGAAGCCACAGAGTAGGTTTCCCAGCCACATTTCAGAGCTGAACTGGGCTTTGAGGATGGTCTTTGATTTCTCACATCCTCCCTGGTGTCTTCCTCTTGGTCTCTGAAGGAGGCAAAGCTGATTTCAAGGTGAACTAAGGCCTGGTTGTTCTCTCCTTGAGCCCAGCCTCCAAACCTGGTATAGGTAAAGTTTTGTACCTCCTGGTCTGCCTCATGCCCTGGTAGGTGTTTCTCAGCACATGCAGGCAGAATCCCTACTAGTGCACAGCACATCCAAGACCCCAGGAAATGCAGCTGGTATTTTTTAAAGAATTTGCCAGTTTTACAGAGCAAACTGCTGGCTCTGGTGATGTCAGTGGGAATTTTGCCACTAATTGCAGCAAAGCCAAGATTTTACCCATGCTATTATAATGTGGATCCCAAATCCCACAGCAGAAGTGCTCTGGGGCATGTTCAGATGGAGGAATAAATTCTTCCCTGCTATTCTGGACTGTGGTCTTCTGGGCAGATTTTTCTCAATTCTAACAGACACCTACGGGGGTCAGTGTTTGTTTAACACTTTCAGACTGTTTCACGTCTAGCTGATCGTGCCAATAACTCCACACTGTGTGGAAACGAACTGCAGCAAGGACTGGAGAAGGGATGGTTGCTCAGTGAGGAGACTAAGGAAGAGGCAGACGGGAGGTGGGGGGAAGATGGAAAAGCTTGGCATGAAATAGGGGAGCCTGATTGTGGGCCACTGAGGTTCAAAAGTAATTTAGCTAAGCAGATGACCGGGTGCCTAATTAGTTAATTATCCCACCGTAGCACTATCCCCCCCATTTGGAAGAAACTCTGCTACCATCCTCATGACCTCCAGGAAACGCACAAGATGCAAAGGATCAGCTGTTCTTTCATGACAGTCCTTTTAGCAAATTAGTGGGGAAAATTGTGCTTAGCAAATATTCATTAGGGCTTCATTTTCCATTAATCCAAAAGGAAATGTGGAGAGCCTGTGACTTCAATCACGCTGAGGCCCAGGAATTTTAATGAGCTTTAAATGGGCATCTGTCAGAATCCTGACTTCGCCGTACTTCTCCTGCCAGCCGGGGGGATGAGTAATGGCTAATAAAAGGTGGGAGCATCTAGGCATACTCCTCTCCCTAACAGGAAAGGCAAAGTTGTAATTTGCTGTGTTACGACACCATAATTAGGCCCTGATGAAGAAAACAAGAGTATTAAAAAACCCTTTCCTTCCCCACGCTGTGCCCCAGACATAAATGGGGGAAAGTGGGCTGGGTCAGGTCACAAGGATGTAGGCACATGGGCTGGGAGGAAGGAGGATACCCTCCTTCTGTCTGTCCTCTTACCCTCGAGGCAAGGAGCACACACTGTATCCCCAGAGCTGAGCTGCAGTAACTTGTTAAGGTCAATGCAGAGCTGGGCAGTTGCTGAAAGTACCTTTGGAAGCAAGACCATCTAAAAAACAAACTCTCTCTCCTCAAACTATACTGTTTTCTCTAGTGGACACTGCAAGGGATTTAAATGGTTTGGTTTTGGGTTTCTTTTTCCAACAAAACCACTTGGACACACCTGGTCCCTTTTGACTTTTTCTCAAGTACATCATGCTTAAAAATAAAAGTCACATTGAAAAGTTTCATTCTAGGTTATTTGACCACTCCCTCTTCTGCCCTAAGAAACAATTTCAACAACATATTTTCTGAGGGTCTCTACTTTGGCAAAACTGCATATTCTAACGAAAGACTGCTCTATTGGTATTTTTCCAAACACCCTCTGAAGTGTGTAAGACTATATGTTACAGCACCAAGACAAAAAAAAAAAAGCAATTTCTCTTGTCTAATAATTTGGATTTAAATCCATCTGTAATCTCTCATGCAGAACCCTCCAGAATGGGGGACATGGCCAAACTGCTCAGATCTGGAGGAGTCTTCAGGATGAAACAGCTTGGGGGGTTGAATGTAAATTTCTACAAATCAATATAAGCTGGGGGAGTTGTATATATCTTTCAATTTTTTATCACCATCCTCACACAGATACAAGAAGGATTGTGAAATTTTTGCATGGAGACACTAAGAAGAGGCAAGAGTTACTGCAGGTCACCCAAAACTCTACAGTTTACATGAGATTATAAGGAGCAAAGAAAAACTATGAACCACATAGTTTCATTCTTTTGATTCTTATTCCCCTGTTCTGTCTTTCCATGGCCACATGTGCTGCTGCACTCCCCTGTCCCTGGATTTTATCCTGATGTCTGTCCTGGGAAGGTTAATGAAGTTAGCATAGCCTCTAGGTGACTTTCTGAGTTCCCAGTCTTCTCTTTTGTGTGTTCCTCTGAGAGTCTACAGACTGCTTCCTCGAGGTGACCCTTCACCAGTCAGAGAGAGGGGATGCCAGAGTAAATCTCCAACGTGTGTTTTCCCATATCCTATTTCTCTCCATTCATGGGTCTTTTTTTTTTTTTTTTTTTCTCTCGATAGGACCAGAGGGCTGTAACCTGTTTATCTACCATCTGCCCCAGGAGTTTGGGGATGCTGAGCTGATGCAGATGTTCCTGCCTTTCGGTAATGTCATCTCCTCGAAAGTGTTTGTGGATCGGGCGACAAACCAAAGTAAATGCTTTGGTGGGTAAAGATAACAAAACAATTAGATTCATCTAGGAAAGGGCTTTCTCTGAATACCTTACCTTTCAAACTGCTTTCTTTCTGCTTAAGCTTTATGATTTCTCTCAACTTACTCCTGTCAATACTTTCCCCTTTCCCTCTCTCTCTCTCCTAATCGTCTCATGCTCAGAGTCGTGTGTGCTGCTTAGATGTGAAGGTTTGGCATCTCACCAGCAGTGAGGTGCTGTGGCTGCTGGTGGTGGGGTGGAAAATATCCCCCCCCTCAAAAGGGGAAGTGGGGATGATACAGAAAAGACCAAAACACCTGCAACAAAATGGGGAGGGATGGAGGGATAAGTAAAATGCTGATGGGGTCAGCAGTGGGAGCATGTGGTAGAAGGGGGATTTCTGTATCTAAAGAAAAACAGGTCATGGGATTGAAAGAAAGACAGAGCTGTGGGAGCAGCCTTTTAGCAGCTGACTGGGGACTAGCTAGACTGCAAGGAGCAAAGGGATGAGCATCAGCTGAAAGCCTATCCTTCCAGGGGGATGGCTGCTCAGTGGACTGCAGACAGGGACACCCTGAGCCCACTGGACCTGAGCCAGCACCACAGCAGATACAGACTGAGCTAACCTTGTGCCTCAGCTCACAGGCCATGCTGCAAGTCTGGGTTGGAAAGATGCACCGAGCTCAGATAGGTCTGGCCTCACTGCTAGCTTAACCCCACAGGCTGGACCATGGAAAGAGCACAGCCTCAGCTGCCTGGGAGCCACCAGCTAGGGACACCTGGAGCTACACCCACAGAGGGAGGGCTCAGACAGCCAACAGCTATGTAGTGATGTGTGCATGATGTCTCAGTGGGATCCCACTGTTTTAAAAGATGTTACTGTGAAGGATCCTTTTTGGCAGTGTGGCAGCATGGGGACCCTACCACACTTGTTCCCATGCCACCTTGTTGACTGCAGATCTCTCCCATCCAGGTGCCCACCACTGGGATGTGTGATTTCGGTTTTTTCACCATCCTGCACTCTTTGCAAACCTTCCTTGAGATGTGACAAACTTTTATTTTCCTGTTACTTGCAGCTGATGTGGCCTCTGTCTCTCAGGCAAACTTCCAGTGCAAACTTCCAGTGTGAAGACTTATTGGAGTTTCACTTGATTTTAAAGACACTCTCAGTCTCCACACTATGCTTTCCTTCTACGCTGCCTTCCCCTTTCCCCTCCCAGACAGCCCACCTCCCAAAACTCCTACCTTCTGCCTTGCTATGGAGCGTGTCACACTGTGCTTCCAAGACTTCCATGCCCCTTATCTATGTACAACTCCTCCTGCCCAACCACAAAGGATCTGAAAAGACTTTTCCACTTTGAGTGAGGGAGCTCTGTCCCATGATCTGAGGTGACAAGTCTCTCCTTCACCAATAGTCATTGAGTTGCTACAGTATCAGGCTCTACAGGAATGAAGGACAAAGAGTTTGGTGTGAAAAGGCAGCTGGGAGATTCAAACTAGAAATTATGAATTAACCTCTTTCTCTCCAGAGCCCACCTGCTTTATAGGGCTTTAACCATAGAAACACTTATGAGATGAGCAGATCAGGACAGCTCTAGGTAACACAGAAAACTAACGCCTCAAGGACATCCAGGGGTTAGAAATGGACCTTTGGTAATGAAACTGTCATTCCTGTCATGAATATCTGGGGGGCTACTGAGCCTTCTTCTTCACATATTGACTAGTGGGAAGAACAAAAGTAAATGGAGAAATGAGGTGAGAGCCAGGTCCAGTAAGGGAGAGATTCTTCCAGACAGCTATTCACCTATCTGTTCTCAGCTCAAAGGCTTTCAGGCTACAAGGCTTCACAAGGGTAACACCATATATCTAACTAGTGGGGCAGGGTTGTGGATCTTGCTTTATTGCTGCTTCTAAGGTACTGTGAGATCATGGTTAATTGTTGAGAAAGAATTAAGAGACTTTAGCAGAATTTATTTTTTTTTTTAACATCAGATCTTACTGGGAGAAGTTAAATATCAGCTTGTTGGACGAAATAACCATCAAAACTAATGGTGAGATATTCCAACCTGAAAGGAGGAAAGTGCCCATTGGATTTGTCCACTGAAGCACTTGGGGAAGCAAAAGCGGGAATTAGAGATTGTTAGAGTATCTTAGTTCACCTCATATTAGCTTTTGAGTCAGTGTTAGGCTCCAGGGTTCAAGCCTCAGTTTTCTCTGGCTTTAACTTACTTTACCCACAGAGCTAAGTGCCTGCTGGGACTGTTGGTCTCAGACAAACATGTTGACTATGTTGCCATGTGCACCACCTCCAGAAGGATAGAAATAGCAGAAGTACAGGTAGCTAATTATCACAAGTATGTCACGCTGCTCTTCAAAACCTCCCACCCTGCTGACCTTCAACTTTAGAGTAACTTAAAAATGTAAAGGGTACTACAGAAAATCAGGACTTTGATTTGTTTTGCTAAGTTCACTGAAGCTAGCACTAGTTACAATTTTTTGTTCAAAATGACAATTAAAAAAAAATAATTACTTTTTCCTAAAGGAAAAGAAGGGATTTTTTTGACTTTGAAAGTAAGGAAACTCTTTCCTTTTCTCCTTAAGCATTTCCCAAAACTCAGCATGTAAAAGCATAGCATTTGCATTCTGTTTTGCTTTTTTTTTAACCCAACTAGAGCTTTCCAACTGGTAGCCTGGGGGGACAATTCTGTCTGGCCCCAGAAAGATATTCCACCATTATATGACCTTTTAAAATGTATCTGCTATGCAGATCCCAAGTAAATTGCTGTAACAGAGTCTAGCCTCAGGTTGTCGAGAAATTGTCAAGAAGTCCTGCTTTAGACAAACTTAAAAAATTCTATGGAGAAAAAATGTCACTATGTTTTTTTTTTCCGTGCAAACAGAAAGTACTTCATTTGCTGCTCTTGGCTTCACTGTTGAACTACCTGTAAGCAGCTGGCCCAGATGGAAAAAGTCAGCAGAGCAGCATCTCAAAACAGGACTTTTACTTCTTCCTGTTTGGTTCTGAATTCTCCCCTGCCTTTCCAGCACAAAGTTAACTCCTTTGGCCACTACTAACAGGATAGTGTAGGGGCTGCCATGGGTGTGTTAGGAAGAAAGCAAGATCAGCCACAACCCTTTCTCCTGGTTTCTGGAGTCCATGAAACCCAGCAGAGAACCACTAGCACCTACACATGCTGAAGAAAAAATGCTGTGGTCTTGAAGCCTTTGACTCTCCCCATTCAGAGGCTACTGCCTCCTGCCTGACAAGGAGCAGCAAGGGATGCAAGCTTCACCAATCTCATGTATAAAATGTGAAAGTGCTCAAAATATGTCTTCTGTTTTCCATAGCAGGACTGCTTGCTGTAGTGTGTAAGATTGCCTGAGAAACAACCCTGACTTCTCACTGAAAAAAGTCATTTAAATTGGAATGCTTCTTCACCTTCAACTTTTCTTCTGCTGCACACATCCAGGCTAGACCCAAATCCTTCCTTTTCTCTTACAATTTTTCAAAACTCTGGCTTTTATTTTCCCCCTATCCTGATACAGCTGTAACATGGCCAAGTGCAGCCCACATCTCTCCTTCCCACTCACCAACACCCTCTCTCCACGGCCTAAGCCTCCATCACATCGATCATATCAGCATCTCCTTGGGTTTCTCCTCCAGCACTGCCTTGTTTACCCTCTCATATTCAGACTTACTGATTTCACCTTCACAGCTATTCACCGGTCTGCCCTTCTCTCTCCTCTCTCCCAAGTCCTTCACTCAATGCCCAGTTGAAACTTGTAGCCTCCTGCCATGCACTTCTTTTACACCCAGTGTGTTTATTCCACTGGGCCATGCTGTCTGTTCCCAGTGAATTGGCAGGGCCACAGCGGGAACCAGTGTCTCACCCAGGGGAAAATTATACTTAGTCGGACACTCCCTGGAGACAGTGACTCTCATTCTCACAGCAGGCTGATCTAGGAAGTCTTGCACAGGGGCACAGTGTGGCACAACCTGAACGTCAGCTTCTGCAGGACCCTGGAGCTTGCCTCTGTGCAAGGCGAGCCTGGACTGGGTCTCTCACCTTCCTGCTGCACGTGTGTAAGTACCCCTGTGCATAGGTATGTTACGTGCCAGAGGACATGAAGTAAATATATGTGCTGGTCTCAGTGGCTGTGGTTCCCCTCTCAGTTATGCAGGTAATTTAAATGTGACCAGTTTGTGTGCAAGGCAAAAGGAAAATTCCAGTGTTAAAGCTGCAAAGTCAAGTAGTCAAAGTGAGAAGAGCCATTCTTCATGCTGTCCACACATGACTAACTCTACCTCTGTTGTAGGGTGATGCTACAATACAGTTCTAATTTCAGGAGCACTCACTGTTGTCCCACAAGACACATTTTAAGAAAGCATTTGAAGACGTTAAACTAGTGAAATACAGAGACAGACATGTTCTAGGAAAATGTTTCAACAGAAAAGTGAGAGAAAAGGAGAGGTTTGGGCAATATTAATTAGGAAGACATGACAGAAATTAGAAAAACGAGGACGTGGATGAGCAGCAGAGGCCAAGTAGTTACCCCAAGGTGTCAGATAAGATGTAGATAAATTAAAGCTAGAGGAATTACTTTACTGGTGCACATGGAAATTCATTCCTCCAGTCACCTCTTTCTGAAAGCAGTGAGCACCTGGATCTGCCAGCTCTTTGCACACCATTGAGCAGCAGACACTGTCAAGCCAGTTTTACTCAGTGCCCCCACCTTGTCCCCCACATGTCTCCTTGGCATGTGCCTGTTCCCCCTACTGCCAGTGCAGCTGCTTCAGTTTCTCCCCATAGGACAATGGCTCTAGGAGGCTGTGAATAACCTCTCTTACACCCTCAAAGACACTGTGGTTTCCCTCCACTCATCTCGACATGTTCTGACACTCCAGGTGTGAGCAACCACAACTGCTGGATTTTTTTATGCTTTTCTATGACTTCCAGATGGACTTTCACACTGGCAGAAGATTCCTTTTTGAAATGTCCCACATCAAAGACA